TCTGGGTTATGAACTTAAAAAATATGGGGGTGGATGCTATGATAGATATCACAAAAATCCCAACTTTTACACAATTTATTTATAATATATTATTACCGTATTCATTATTACCTTACCAAAAGTTTTGTATAAGCTTTAAGAACTAACTATATATATACTTAAAACATGGTATGCACTGTGTGATGGTCAGGGTGACTTTATATGAAGAGGTAGCGACTAAAGTCGTGGCGATAGGGGTGCTTTCAACACCCACTTCTTAATGTTCTTCCACACTGTTTCACGTTAATAGTCAGTCGACGGTCATTGGCCGCAGAATTGTCTTAAGGGATGGAATTGTAAGGTCACCGGTTAGAGTAGGAAGTGGGTATAACTCAAGTAACGGCTCTTCATATCAGAGTTATGGTGGCTGTTGTCGTATTAACTTCATCTGAGTTTATATATTATTGCAGTAGTGGCGGCCATTTTTCTTCATTGCATTCCTCCATAGAGAGTGCTAGCACACTCTGTGATACATATAAGATGTTTTTGTGCCCTCAACACACTGTGTGATACATATAAGATGTTTTTGTGCCCTCAACACACTGTGTGATACATATAAGATGTTTTTGTGCCCTCAACACACTCTGTGATACATATAAGATGTTTTTGTGCCCTCAACACACTCTGTGATACATATAAGATGTTTTTGTGCCCTCAACACACTCTGTGATACATATAAGATGTTTTTGTGCCCTCAACACACTGTGTGATACATATAAGATGTTTTTGTGCCCTCAACACACTGTGTGATACATATAAGATGTTTTTGTGCCCTCAACACACTCTGTGATACATATAAGATGTTTTTGTGCCCTCAACACACTCTGTGATACATATAAGATGTTTTTGTGCCCTCAACACACTGTGTGAATGTTGTGTTATAGAAAATTCAATGTGTGTGTGTGTTTTCTTATAGCAAAGCCAGATCGAGCTATCTGCTGTATCCACCGAAGGGAATCGAACTCCTGGTTTTAGCGTTGTAAATCCGAAACTTACCGCTGTACCACTGGGGGACGGAAAATTTAATAAAGTTTTTTTGTTTGGTGTAAGAACTTGGTGCTATATATAAGAATGTAGTTAATGTTAACTTACGTCAATAATAATAAATGCTCAAAAACAGCAATAATAGGGGTGGGGATGTAACCTCCCACCATTAACATGCCCCTTGTTCCAAACTATCATCCAACAATGTTTGGTTGAGGTTGGCCCAGCGACCTAGGAGTAGTTAGGTAAGAGACAAAACAGACAGACACACAACATTTTTGCTTCCTCTCTCTCTCTATATATATATATATAATAGTTTTTCTGATGTTGTTGTAAGGACGTGGCGCTATATATGAATGTAATTAACGTTAACTTACGTCAAAGATAACAGCAGCAATAATGGGGGATGGATTGATTGTCAATCCTCCAGTAACATGCCCCTTGTTCCAGACTATTACGTATTGAGAATTGAAAATCCAAAGCCGCGTTAAATAATTTAACTTTTAATAGTTGAACTGTATCCTGGATTTAATGTTTAGAAATATGCCGATATTTTATTTAATTTACGCTATTTGCGAACAATATTGATTCACACCGTTTTTGTTTTAACACAGATACGTTTTAATATATATATATATATATATATACAACAGTATAATTTACAATGGCAACTATTACGATCAATTATTACAAAGCTCATGAACAGAAATTTCACTAACTTACAAATAACCTAAAATCGTCTTCCTAGTTCAGAGTCTCCTTGATATCCAGTGAGTTAGCTTGAAGTCGATGTACATATAATTGGCTGAGAAAGGCCCATCGACCTAGGAGTAATTAGATAAGTGACAAACAAAAAGATTTATATAGATGTAGCTCTCCCTTAACGTTCGCTGCCATGTTCCCTAACGGTGGGTCACAACCAACTTTTACTTACGGACCGTGTGACACACCGGTGAGTAACAGACACTGTGACTGCCCCTCTTGAATGTTTAATTTTTTATACTTAATTTATTATGCGACAGCGAACATGTTAATCAACTCTCACCACTTACTTTTGCCTTTATTAAGAGCTTTTCACTGGTTATTCTTACGACATTATCACTGAACCCTGTTTTTATTGTTAGTGTTACTCCCAGTCATGATTTAAAAGTCATAAATGGTAAGACAGTACATAATGATATCTCCCCAGCTTTCACTGATATCTCCTTCCTTCCTAGTTGTGATAATTTTTACAACAAAGCTATGAATACCGATAGGTTAATAACGACTCTTGGTTTCATAGCTTGCTAAACTTATTTCCTGTGTTATGTTAACTTCAACATTATAGCTTCGACTGGCGAGACAATATCTTTTTTTTTGTACACCATTATACAGAAAAATACAAATATTTTGTGTTTTTGCCCCTTTAAAAAGCATGCAGTTTGGCTTATTTTGCATTGTTTACTCTAAAAATTACCATGTATTACTTAATCCAGAGGTATCTCTAACAATACTTAGAAAAATAGATACAAATGAAAAGGAATAAACATAAAAAGCGAAAGGAAAAAGAGTCAGCAAATCAAAGTCGCATTAACTCTATGGTGACCTCTTTATGATCAGGATTTCACACACTTACTATACTGCAAATTCTTTTTACAAATTCAATTCAACTTCAAACAAATTGCTTAAAGCCTTAAGGTAATATAATTTTCAATATTTATTGTAAGAGAAGGCACGTACAAGAAATATTTTAATTACACAAATAATTATCTACCAACAGAATTAAGCAGTGTACTGACGTCACTATGGAGCAGCTAGTCACTGTTCACCACGAGATGGGACACATTGAGTACTATCTTCAGTATAAACATCAACCAGTGGTGTTTAGAAGAGGAGCAAACCAAGGTATGTTACTTCTAAAGCTTACGTCCTAAACAATACACCATAAAAATATACTGTTTACTGCCATGAAAGATGTTTATTTGTCTTGTTCTCGTAAGTACCTTATTAATATTCTAATCGTTAACATTTATCCCTAACGACACAAGGAAAGTTGAACAATAATGCGATGTTCAGTCCAGTGGCGTACATGGTATGTCACCAATTTACTGCTCTTTATTGACATTCAAATAGAACAAGCTGAGACACCTGTCCTACATCCGGGGCATATAGATTGAATGTAGGCCTTGAACTAATAGCTTACATCATGAATTTTAGTTTATATGCAGTATTTATTTCACTCATAATTTACTTCACACCTACTTTATTTCACATTACATTACAGAAATGGTGTTACAATTACATTACTTTAATACTTTTACTAATCCCTCTCTACAGTGTTTATTGATACTCTGGGTGCTTCTTGATGGACCACATTAGAAGTTCTTCCTCCTTTCTGGATCAAAGTAAAGAGATTTCTTGGTGATCCTACTCTTGAACACCCAATATAGAATTGACCGTGTGAAAATCAAGGGGTTTTCAGATGCAGCTCTGACACTTTAAGGGTCTGACCTTGTGCTTTGGTTGCCATTTGGCAAAATGTGAATGTTTGACACTTTTAATGAAATAACACAAAATGTTTACCAGAAAAACTACAAAAATTCAAGAAAAAAACTCCAAATAAACAATTTTAGGAATACAAATTGGTCCAAGACTGTGGAGTTATGAGCTAAATAAACAAATTTTTGCTGTGGACATGGTCCAGAGTGGGTGAAACCAAGTAATAACCATCGTATGACATGCCCCTTGGTCCAATGTACCATCCTATGAAATTAGGGTGAGATTGGTTTAAAGACCACAGAGTAATTAGTGGATAAACAAACAATTTTTATTTTAGTTTTATAAGTATAGGTACTGAGTAGATACTCTTACTTCTCAAGTCTTGGTTAAAACGCCCGTCTTCGGAATTTCAGGGAAGGTAAGAGCAAGATATGTTATATATATATATATATATATATATATATAGTCTCAATAGCCTTTCTCACGTTATATTCCTTGTGCATATTTAATTAGCTTACGTTTGGAAAACGATCTATCAGCAGTGGCAACGGTGACTGGAATGGTTAAAAACAAAAACATGCTGTGCAAATGTCAGGAAAAGAAAACGACAAGGCGATATTTTCAACAATGTTATCTCTTTGACTGAACTGAACTTTGGAGGTGCTCGGAAACTTTTATTTTTGTTTATTTTAAAGCACAAAGCTACACAATGAGCTTTCTGTGTTGTTCCAAGCGCGGGTATTGAAACCCGATTTCTAGCTTTATAAACCCTTAGACTTACCACTGAGCTACCGGGTTCCGGAGACTTAGCATTTGACTTGGAAAAGATGTATATATATATGCTTTCTGAAACTCTTCTGTTTTGGCAAAAAGACTCATTATCTGTTACAGATAATAGAACTTGTGGTTATAGAATTCCAAATATTTGTACAATCACATTCACGCCATGGAACCGGTTTACCACCTGCTGTGTTACAAAGTCCAAAAACTATAAAACACGATAATTTTTAAATTTTGTACGGGATCTATCTATTAGTCCCTGATCTTCACGTAAATCATCAAATTGGCGTTTAACGTTTCGGACCCTTTTTTCTTTGAATTTGCACTCAATGTTCCACTTTAATGCTAGGGAAACCGCAGTTTTCCAAAGTCATTACGATAAGTTGTCAATGTTTCAGCTGCTCTTTGAATCAGTTCTGCAGCTTTGTTGTATGAAATGGTTTTTACTGTAACATTTTAGAGACAGTTTCTAAAATTTTGCAATGAAGAACTAGAAGAAAGACAAACTGGAAACAGACAGATTTCTTTTTTAAGCCCCAGCATTTCAAATATTTCATATATTTTCACTGACAGAAAAATTATTCCAGACAGTGCTTTTAGAGACTCGTAATGAGATGGACATAACCTTTTGAGATGCACCTCCGACTCACTCATGAAAAAATGGAAAAAAAATCTCCCATTTTTTAACACTGTCAGAAAAAAAACAGTTTCTGCACTACATAAAATAACGTCAATTTATGGATATTCACAACTACATCATTTAGCACCAAACCCAGATTGTGTGCTGCGCAATGTACGTAAAGTACCTTCGGCTTTTTTGCAGCGATTTGAACTTGTACACCACTCATTGTTGCTATACTGTATCTTTCACCTCTTCTCTTGTTCCTGTACTATCGTGTTATAAATTCAATTTTGGGAACTCTGATTTTGCGCTCCATTTTGGTTATGATATTGTCTGCCTGCCTGTCTACTTCGAGTTTTAAAAACTGCTGCCACAGCAGTTCTCTGAATGTTGAATGGCTGATAACACTGATTTGCTCTTGACTCTTGACCAATCAATTAATTTAGTATTGTGGTTGTGGTTTAAGCAATATGTACATACTGTAACCACGTTTGTGTATATGTGTTTATGCAGGCCTTGTGATGAGCCAAAGGGATCCGGGAGTAAGATAATAATTTTTTTTTATCCGTAACAAAGAAATGGCTGCTATAATGATATGTACGCCACTGGTTCAGCAACGTATGAATGTGAAGAGTGTGTTTTAAAAAAAATGTTTTCCTACACATTCTAAGCCAGATAATATACATTTCAGATATAAATGGAATTCAAATTCTATTTTAGGCGTCCATGAAATGGTATAAAATGATTAAAACACTTTTCATCTCAGGAGTTATTTAGAATTCAATTCCAATAAATGGTCGTGTGTGACGAGGAAATACACTGAGATAACTTTCGTCGTTTTTCTTTGTGTGGCCCAGATTCACCTATGGGACAGAGCCTCACAACCCAAGCTGTATGTCATTCAATTATTATGAAATTTAGAGGTCAATCAAACAGTTTGAGGACAGCATTATATATATATATATATAACTTCACGATGTCCCTAACTTTTATTACATGTAAATTTTTACTGTAGAAGAGCGTTTCATCAAACAAAACCAAAAACATATAATGGTAGCAGCGTTAACCGCATATAGAGGTTGCACAGATAATGGAAACACCAATTAATTTCTACATTTTATTTATTAATATGAAGTTGGTCCCCTGTGAGCAGACAATACAGAATTAACATGACATGAAATTTATTAAACAAGGTCTTGTGCATCGGATAATATTTTTGACCATTCGTCCATCAAAGCTTTTTTTAAATGTTGTAGTGATGTTGGTGATGGAAATCTGTTTCGAAACTTGATTTCAAGAAGTGGTGGCCATAGAGGCATGATAGTATTTAATCCGGGTTTTGTGATGATTAAGTTTGTGTCCAAATTCTACCATACGTTCTTTGAATCAGTCTTTAACAGTTTCAACAATTGGTGCATTGTTCTCTTGAAACATACCAGCTCGCGATCTGAAATAAAACTTAAGTAATCATTTACTGTTACTCAAACTTTTAGTGAGACCATATGCCCTAAATGTTTCTACTAATACAGAGCGTCCACTATGCTTAACTGATGGCACAAAACATTTAGATTTGTAAGTTCTCTTGAAACATACCAGCTCGCGATCTGAAATAAAACTTAAGTAATCATTTACTGTCACTCAAACTTTTAGTGAGACCATATGCCCTAAATGTTTCTACTAATACAGAGCGTCCACTATGCTTAACTGATGGCACAAAACATTTAGATTTGTAAGCTTATTTTGTTTCTCACCACACATTTTATACGAAACTGTAAAATATTATTCATTTATCAAACCACATTCTTCTGCTGATCTTTTGTCTAATATGTTTATGTTCTTGACAATATTTTATTAAGACTTTAGCATTTTTGATGTTATTGGAGGTTTGTGAATGGCAGACCACCAGGGCTAATCCACTTTGTGCAACTCACAAAAAGGTGAGATGCTTCTATTATCGTGTTAAATCCCCTATATATTAACAATATTGTTGAAAGTTCATAGCAATATTTTTGCCCAGTAATTCATAGTATATAGTCTTTCAACAATACTGTTATTGTTGTTAGTTTATGTTTTCACTGTCGTGTGCCTCGTACGTGCATGTTTGGATGAATTCAATCCAGTTTAATTATATTTATCTGTATACGGCTGATGTAGGACAAAATTTGAAACGGCCAGGCGTGATACACACACATATGTGAGGATGGAAGGGTAATAAAATCAAACTATTGACTTGGCAGATTTATTTCCTTTTAACTTCTAAGAGCAATGTACAACATTGCTCTATAGTACACCGTTTTCATTTGCTTTCCTTTCACAAGAAACTAAACCATTTCTACTTGCAACAAGTATATATCTAAAAGGGTATTTCAAAGAGATGAGAAACCTTTCTTTAAATATTCAGCTTAAACAGGGATTACATGATTTAAATGATAGTTGTATATATCGGATTTTAGGATAAGTTGCCAACTTATCCTAAATGACAAAGAAGGAGGTACAGAGAATCACTGAACAAACAAGCTTGACTGAACTGGCAGAGAAGCGGTGTTTGACCGGGAAGGGATCATGTACTTAGGAACAAAGGTTGACAAGAGAGATAGCAAATGCATGAAAAGAGGCCAAAAGGAAAGCCAAAAGAATATGGAGGAATGACGCGAGGGGTATGATGGAGAGGAGAAGAATGGAAGAAGGTATAGAGGGCCAGATACAAGACAGAGCATCGTAGAGAAGATAGGTCATAGAGGAGGACGCAGCACTGACTGTTGTAATAGTTACTGTTTCCATTGTTGATTCTGTTCTTATGGATTATTTGGTAAAAAGACGAATACAAAATCCAGTTCATTTAATAATAACAAAAACATTATATTTTTCAACTTCAAGTAGTACAAGTTTCAGTCTCCACGGTTTCACGTAACTAACGATAGATCTAAATTCACAAATAAAAAATGTCTAAGCAGAAATTGCACTGACTTGCTAATTTTGTATCTGCTGCACTTCGTCGCAAACACAAACTACAAATAAACAGCAATAAAATGGCTGATAGTAACACACAAAATGATTAAATCATATACTGATTTAATATATTCTTCTCAATTATAGTGCAGAAGGAAGATATAGTAGTATAGTAATTTGGAAAGACTGCTTTTGTAATCGCTACATTATGACACTGTAATAGACACTATCAAAATATTCTTATCAACACACTCTCAGAGATGTAATTAACACGTCGCTTTTTAACACAAGACTTCAATTTTCTGTACATGAGATTACTAAAGTTGGAAGCAATAACTCAAGCATACATATTACGTACGTTAACTAACCAGAAATCGTAACACTAAGTTTCTTTACACTTTTCAAATTCTTTACAGGTTTTCATGAAGCGGTTGGTGATATAATGTCGTTGTCCGTCTCTACTCCAAAACACTTACAGGAAATCGGATTGCTTGACGAACTCGTAGAAGACGAAGGGAAGTTTTAATTAACATGAAAAGTTTAATCTGAATATAGATAACAAACTGTTTAACATATATAAGTGATACCAATTTCAGCCCACTGTCATGATATAAAAGACTGTTTGGTTTAAATATTAGTGATTAATTTATATTTGCGAGTGAATATTTTATTATTTTTAAGTTTTGTTATAATAATAGTTAAAAACAGACGATTGTAGAAGGTTTTGATAATAACTAATTGGTGTCGAGAATATAGAAAGTGACCAGATGACTGTGTAATAAATATATAAATAGCGTGAGACGAGCGGGAAGACAGACAATATTAGACAGTAAAAGAAAAGAGAATATAGTTGGAGAATATAGTTAAGTAATGTAAAAGTGATAGGCCTAACGTTTAATGTGTTAGAGTGAAACTAAGAGTATAAAAAAGACAAGAAGGATAATTTTATTCCGCCAAAGTGTGGACCTAGTGTTATTGAATCAGCCTGGTTACACTTTGACAAAAAGAAACAGAGAATCTTCAGAAGAAAGAAGACCAAACGAGTTACGGTAATTGCGCCACAACTGTAAGTGAATCACACACAGAATACTAGTACGATAGTAATATAGATAAGATAGTTCGACTTGTCAACTGAAATTATAAAGTAATTGAATAGACCTAAGTGGACTTTTGACAACAAGAAGAGAATTATATATATTTGGTGTTTATGATATGCCTGTAATCTCTATAGTGAGAAGACTTTGTTGTACATACGTTTAACTTATTCCGAATATCTATATATATATATACATGTATATGTATATAAGTT